GACTTCTGACTTCAAACTACCATCACTCCACTGTATATCACATTCGACTACTTTCGCAGTACCCAGTTCACCTTTGTTATACCTTTGTGTCTGTCTCCTACATCTTTGAAACACTCTTCTGTTCCCCCCCTCTCTCGACTTTTTTCACTTTGATGTTCCTCCTCCTCTCTGTGAAGCCTGAAGTCAACTAAATGTCTAATGGTAACTATCAAAACGAAAGCCATTTGATATAATTAAATAAATCCTGCAATGACCCCTCAGAGACCCATCATGTCCTCAAGTGGTTTATATCAATTAACTGGTTAGATGCAATAATAAGCCTTGATTTATGCTCAGTAATCTCTATGGCTCCCAATGCTATCTGCGCAATAACAGTGATTTAGAGGAAACGGATGCGTGGCATGGGCTGTGCAACTGAAACGGAACTTAGCCGCTAATAAATTCAAATTTAACTGCGATGACCATGCCGTGACTATTAGTTGTTAATTACCTGAGAGGTCTCTGCACTCATGACCCCATTTGCTCCAGAGTGAGATTAGCATAGTTCAAATGAGCAATTGATACAACTCAGCATTAAAATGTAAAATAGGATAGTAAGCAATTATTTTGACAGACCTAATGCGATCACTGCTAACTCGGGTACGAGAACAATAGAAAGCATGCAATTGGAAACTATAGCAGGAATGCGCTTTCCCAAGAAGTTGATGTCAATGAATGGCTGGGGATCGCGCTTATTAGAGTTCGGTAACAACATCCGTGGTGCACCCTGGGCAACGCAAACTCAAACTGCCATGACCCGACTGTATGTCATATTCCACCACTTCCACAGTGCTTATCTTACCTCTTCTCTGCTCCTGTGTCTCTTGGATCTTTGAATCACCCCACTGCCCCCTCCCCTCTCCTCTACTTGTTGTGACTTTGATGTTCCCCTCCCCCCCCCCCCCCCCCCCCCACCCTCCGTGAAGCCCGAAATCAACTAAAGGACTAAAGATAACGATCATAAGGCCTGCCATTTGATATAAATGTCTTAGGACACCCAAGAAGCTCAAAACCCCTTGCATCTTAACCCCAATGATTGGGTATTGCAATATATAAATATGCGCCAGAATTGTAGACAAATAGTTTATTACAGAATGCTTTACATAATCTACACACGCACACACACACACACACCACATACATTGAGAAATGAACAGAAGTCAATTTCAAAAAACAAACAAGAAAAAAGCAAGAAGTGGATCTGAAGTTACAACACACATTCGGATATGAATATGGAAAAGGACAATATCTGATAAGACGAATTGGCATTGAAAATTCTGTTCAACGGGGTTGGAATAATCTATTTATAGATGAAACAACTTTTGATACTAGGGGTCGGCTTTCTCCACTGCCTTCTAGTGTGGTGTATTCATTTCTAGAAGTGGAACCACCTTGACGTCCCGGCAAGTTGAATTCGAACATGGCATTCATTTTCTCCTCCGAAAACTCCACTATCGGCTGATCTGGACCGAAGGTTTGACCGATTCTCATATCGTCTTGACCTGGTGAATTAAATGTGTTGCGATGCACTATTACTTATTTTTAATCATTTATTTATTCATTTAATTTTTGGCAAGACATACTCTCGACACTTGGAAGTGTGGCGGCGATCGCAGTGTTTCGATTTTGAAGCACACCTCGAAGAGAAGCGATATCAGTGGCACCGCCGTCGTCTTCACCTCGGTTTCGTCGTCGAGCTCGCCCCAGAGTGCGTTCTATAAGGAGGGGGAGACGAAAGGTTACTAACGAGACAAGAAGTAACTCCACCAGTAACCCTTTAACACCCGAATTCTTTTTTTTCAACATTGCACCCAACAGCACTCATGCATGTCTCACAGCACACTGATGCCACCCCGACGTGATGAGTTTTGGTGGTGTATCAGACGAAGGCAATAACGCCTCCTGTTACGAGCCTATTACTAATGGAGCTTATTTTGAATGAGGACCGCACGGTCCCATGGGCGTTTAAGTAGAAGGGAAATGGGAACAAACAGGAAGCGGAAACCCCACAAACGCACTCAAAGCTATCTTATCTATCTTAATCTGTGTCCAAGAATGAACCAGCATAAGAGATAGAAGATCCCATAACTACTAAAGAAAACAACAAAATTTCAAGCAAAGAAATTTAAACCAAGGGATAAAAAGATTGATTTACTTGTTTGTAAAATAAGTAAATTTTAAAAAATTTGCACATCACTCTGCACAATGCGTACGAGTAATCTCGACCATTTCAGGGACTAAAATGTCCTAATTAAAAGACGTGTAACACACAAACAAAAACATTACCTTAACATAATGGGGAAGGATAAATAGTCCCAACAATTCCTGCTTGGTCAAAAAAAAACAGAACACAATTAACATCTAAAGAAAGTGTCATATTTCAGACGTAGAAAGTGGATTATTCATAACAAGTAATCACCTCAAACCAATAACTTGTTCTAAACCAGAGATGTGGATATTAGTGTGCTGATAACCATGATGTTCGAAAGCAGGGTGTGCGATAGACTTACCTCCACGTGGTGCACCATGGGCAACGAATACTCATACGGCAAAAGGTCTAAAAACCGGCAGTTGACTTCTGACTTCTAACTACCATGACCCGACACTATGCCATATTAGACCACTTTCACAGTACTCATCTTACCTTTTTTCTAGATATTCTACCATCGTCTTTGAAACACTCTTCTGTTCCCCCCCCCTTCTCGACATTTGTTCACTTTGATGTTCAACCTCCTCTGTGAAGCCTGAAGTCAACTAAATGGCTAATGATAGCCATCAAAACACCTGCCATTTGATATAAATCAGTGATGTTCGAAAGCAAACCTGAGTGCAAATATACTACTGAATTCATTAATAAATATTTTGGACCATGCTTTCTAAAAGAGTGTGCAAATTCATCTTTTACCTCGATAGAGCAGCATCCGCCCATCCTCGATGGCGTCTTCAACAGGAGACGCTTCTCCCACCGATCGACTTCGCTTATCAAGGAAACTCGGTCCCAGGAGTTGGGGCATACCAAACCATGCCAGTAATCGACTTCCCAGACTGAAGAAAGTCACCAAACAAAGGACGACAACCACCATCGGGAAGTAGACGTTAAAGCCATTCGCGATGAAGGGAACAACATCCAAATGGCCCATGAATTTAGTGAAGGCTGTCTCGTAGACTACTGACCCGGTCACGAGACTTTCAAGAGGGAGACCTGAAGTCGTAAAGTTGGATGCGATTGCGGAGAGTAGAGTGGTGTTCTGAAGAACATGGCTATCCAGATGGGCCAAGCAAAGGAAATTGACGCAGAGAGAAGGGACAAGCCGACAGAGCATACTAAATGAAAGTTGGCATAGCAATTAATCAGCCACCCAGCTCAACGTTTTCTATGCATAAGACTACTACTCATTTAACAAATTCATATTAGACGCATTGGTAAAAAGCCATAAGTACAAATACTGATATTAACACGAAGCCAAAACTCGACTCCTAGTCAACTGGTATGGAACACAAATGCAGAATCACCTGCCAACAGTAATCCGCAATGACGTCCTTCGCTTTACTGTGCAGATGCTTNACCTCCACGTGGTGCACCATGGGCAACGAATACTCATACGGCAAAAGGTCTAAAAACCGGCAGTTGACTTCTGACTTCTAACT